GAGTCGCCGCCAACAAGCAGCCCACCGTCACCGATGGCGGCCGCGCGCCCCCCGCCAATCGTGATTCCGGCGCTGTCGACGTCGCCGGTTGTGTCGCCGGTTGCATCACCCGTGGCAGCGGGACACTACAGCAGTGACGCACCTATCGTCATGCACATGATCTCGCCTCTTAGTTCACCCGTCCAGACGCCGCCAATGTCGCCGACAGTAGCTCTCATGCCGCCACATGGCGAGGCGCTCCGACACGATGCCTGCAGCAAGCACGGTGATTCTGCCGCCAGCACGCCTTTCAGCAACCCCAGAGGCGCCGCAGATCCCAGTGGTAACCACTTCGTTTGGATCCGCTGTCGTCGATACTTCTCCCCTGGATGCTGCTACACCAACGAGAGAGTCGCCTGAAGACCCAAGGACCCACGCTACATGCATGGACCCACCCGCGCTGTCACCAACGACGTCGCTCGCAGCAGACGACTGCATGTCCCCACTCGATGTCACGCCGTCCACGTCACCGGTCGCTGCGCTCGTTGCTCCATTGCCAGCGCCTCTGTTGCCGCCAAGTTCACCGCCCTTTGCAGCTTTCGCGTCGACTCTTGTACCATCCAGTCCCGGTCGAATGAATCCCGTCAGCGAGCGGCGCTTCTCATTGGAAAGCCTCGCCAACGGCGACGACAGTGACGACGACGATCCGTTTGAGCTGGGGGCGCCGCCGGAAGAATCCCGGAGTCTTGAAACCGCAGCATCGTCGACCTCGGAGATGACGGTGGTCGAGGACGAGCGCTGCGAAGTCGAGGCGACCTCTAGCACGCCGTACACATGCGAGCAGCAGCCGGCCATGTACCAAGGCTACGAGCGGTACGATATACTGATAGGTTTGCGTATAATTTTACTCTTGTGCATGCCATTAGGGTCGCGGCCAAGCTCCAACACCCGCAAATGGCGTCGACGTTCCAATGGGCATCGCTGTTTCCAGACGTCCCGCTCTCCAACGTGGTGGCGCTCATTCTGTGCCACAATGCGCTGGAATCGATTTCCTTTCAAGACGTACTAGCTCTCTCTTTGACAACGTATTGAGAAAGGGTGTAGATGCAGCTGCGGCACTTGCGTGTCCTCGACTTGTCCGCCAACAAGCTGCACAAGCTCACGCCCATGGATGTGCAGCCGCTGCGCCAGCTCGAGGTGCACGGCGGGTGTTGGTTGCGTTATTTAGCCTCGAGCGTAGGTGCTGGACCTGAGCTTCAACGCATTCCGAACGATTCACGGCATTGAGCACCTCACGCATCTCAAAGCACTCAACTTTGCCGGCAACCACATCAAGGCGGTCAAGAACCTCGAATTTCTCGAGCATCTCGAGGTCATCGTCACGCACCACACACATCCGAAGCAATGCGAACAGCGTTGTCGTGCGTAGATCTTGAACTTGGCGCAAAACGAAATTCTGACACCGCAAGCGCTACGCCTCCTCTCTCTCAACAAGGTACGTTCGTCGATACCACGGCTGGCGCTCATGACCAAAATTTATTCGATGCTAGCACCTCACGCACTTGAACATTGATGACAACCCCGTGGTGAGCCAAGGCAACCACCGTCACCACAGCGCCCACATCCTCAACATCATTCCGACGCTGCGGTCGCTCGGCTGCATCCACCTCGCCGCGCTCATTTTGCGCGAGAAGCGCAAGGACAAGAGTGCCAAGTCCAAAGACGACGCGCCGTCCGTGGTCACCGCGGTCGACGAGACGGACAGTCCGTACTGGATCGCGCAAGCGTGTAAGAACGTTGGCTTGGTCTGCGACGCGCCCGAGGTGTCGATGCATCGCGTAGCTTCACCCTTCCTAAATCTTGGTGTGCATAGGAGACACCGCGCACGCCGTCGCCGAAGAAGGTGTCGCGGCACGAGCAGCGGTCGCGCGACGAGCTGCGCGCGAAATCGTTTGCGCATCACATCAAGAAGAGTCGCCGCCGCCACCGCCGATGCCGCTCAAGACGAAGCCCAAGTGCTCG